TTTTTTATTATCTTATAGATTTCGTTCCAGTTTAAACCAAAAGTATTGCTTGCTTCTTCAATTTGCTTATTGTTCGTTTTTTTTTTTTACCTTTTTTTTAGTTTTAAAGCGCATCTTTTTCGATTTTATTGTTGTGTTTAACTTCTTTATTACATGTGTAGCCTCTTCTTTGTCTGCGGTTTTCTTCACGCCACCTAAGCTGTGCGTGCCTCGATTCGTTCCAGCTTCATCAATACTCTTCGTGTCTTTGTATTGTTGGTTTTTCTCTAATTCTAAGCGCCAGCATAAGCCGCTTTATTTCTTAATGGGCGTTTAAAGCGTGCACGCTCTTTAACCGCGTTTTTTCTGCGCTTTTTCTTCAAATAACGCATCATAAGTGGCGCGTCTTTAACGCTATGCTCATTAACTATATCGAAAACGATTTAAATTTCTTTAGTAGCCGCCTCTGTCTGCTGTTTTGAGATGCTTCAATCGCTACACATTTCAATCAATTTTTTGCGTATAATTTGTTGCTTATGTTTTCTCGTAAATTAACCCCAAAAGTTGTTGCCCCGAAAGATGTGTATAAGAGACAGTACATATATTTTTCTATTACAGTTTTTGTACTTTTTTTTCTAATTTTCTTCTTCCTCTTTGAACACTTCGCATGTATGCGCTGTCGCCTARCTTCGTCATTCTCCCAGGCAAATTAGCCACACCAGTGCTATCAGTTTAAGCGAGTAATTAAGTAATTAAACAGCAACGCTCACAACGCAGATGCACCGCTGTATAGCGCAAACAACAACTACAAATATGTAACGTTGTATAATAAAGTGCACAACTCTATTAGCTTGCAAAGTATCAAGGCGAAAAATAATCAAGTTCACTTCCTTGCAAGACTTGCTTGCCGCTTCTACCAAAAAGTGTCTCACAAAAGTCTGCRCTACTCTTTGCCACACTGCTCTCAAGGCGTCCTTGCATAGCTACTTWTACATTACAAATATATGTATACACTTGTTTATTTATTTTATTTTTTTGTTATATAATTTTTTTACATTTTTCTTTTCCTCCGATTTCCCCATTTTGTTATGACGTCGTCTTGTTAACAATTAAATTGTCATTTTAACAAGCTTAAACTTGTTGTAAATGTTAATTGCCGGACAGTTATAAATCAGAGCACMGTGCAGCTTACATTCGTTTGTATTTGTAAATAAATATATGTCTGTCTGTATGTATGGGTGTGCCTATTTTTGGCTRCTTAAACGCCTGCTGCTACGCGTTTATCCAGCAAACGCTGGGGCGTTCAGCGCGAGGAAGCCTTTCTGGCTATTTGCGTGTGYTGTTGTTATTGTTGTTGCTGCTGTCGTACACTTGTTCGCTCCAATTTTTTCTGCTTGTTTTATTTTTGTTTAAGCTTTTTTTTGCAATGCTTACCAGCTTGTTTCTTCGGCTGTTACTTGCGGCGGCTGCCTCCATTTTTGGTTGTGTATTTAATGAAGCGTTGATTGCTTGTCGGTTTTTTCTTCGGCTGTGTGTGTTTGGCAAAAAATTGTTACCATTTTTATTTAATTTCTTCATTATTAAGCATTTGCTTATTTTGTTACAGCAAAAAGTAATGAAGAATGTCAAAGTTTTGTAATGCCTTTTTGGTAAAATTTTCCGGCGTTTTTCAATAACGCTGTATTTCGTTGTTGCTTTTACTTTTTTTTCTGAAATTAGCAGACGACTTGTAGGTTATTTTTATTTTTCAAATTTAATGTTTTTCACAAATTTTTAAA